TGAGACCATCCTGGTCAACGTGGTGAAACCCCGTCTCTACTAAAAATACAAAAAATGAGCTGGGCATGATGGCGCGTGCCTGTAATCCCAGCTACTCAGGAGGCTGAGGCAGGAGAATTGCCTGAACCCAGAAGGCGGAGGTTGTGGTGAGCGGAGACCGCGCCATTGCATTCCAGCCTGGGCAATAAGAGCGAAACTTCATCTCAAAAAAAAAGAAAAAAAAGAAAGAAAAAAAAAAATATATATATATATATAATATATAAAATAGAAAATAGAATATATAAATATATAATATATATAATATATAAATATATAATATATAAATATATAATATATAATATATAAATATATATTTATATATTATATTAAAATTATATATAAATATATAAATGTATAATATATAAATATATATTTTTATATATAATTATATTATATATTATATATATTATAATTATACATATATAAATATATATAAATTATCTATAAATATATAATATATAAATATATAAAATATAAAATACACACACACACACACATATATATATATATTACACGCACATACACACACAATCATGTTGTCTGCAAATAGAGACAAGTGGACTTCCTTTTTTCCTAGTTGAATATGCTCTATTTCTTTTTCTTACCTGGTTGCCCTGACCAGAACTATGTTGAGTAGGAGTGGCATGAGAGGGCATCCTTGTCTTGTGCCAGTATTCAAAGGGAATGCTTCCAGTTTGGGCCCATACAGTATGTTATTATCTGTGGGTTTGTCATAAAAAGCTCTTATTTTGAGATACATTCCATTGATACCTAGTTTATTGAGAGTTTTTAGCATAAAGGGATGTTAAATTTTGTCGAAGGCATTCTTTGCATCTATTGAGATAATCATGTGGTTTTTGTCTTAGTTCTGTTTATGTAATGGATTATGTTTATAGATTTGCATATGTTGAACCAGTCTTGAATTTCAGGGATGAAGCTGACTTGATCATGATGGATAAGGTTCTTAATGTGCTGTTGGATTCGGTTTGCCAGTATTTTATTGAGGATTTTCCCATCAATGTTCATCATGGATTTCAGCCTGAAATTTTCTTTTTTAGTTGTGTCTCTGCCAGGTTTTGTTATCAGGATGATATTAGTCTCATGAAATGAGCTAGGTAAGATTCCCTCTTTTTGTGTTGTTTGTAATTGTTTCAGAAGGAAAAGTACCAGCTCCTCTTTTTACCTATGGTAAAATTTGGCTGTGAATCCTTCTGGTCCTGGACTTCTATTTGGTAGGCTATTAATTGCTGCCTCAATTTCAGACCTTGTTTTTGGTCTATTGAGGGATTTAACTTCTTCCTGGTTTAGTCTTGGAGGGTGTACGTGTCCAGGAATTTATCCATACCGTCTAGATTTACTGGTTTATTTGCAAGAGGTGTTTGTGGTCATCTCTGATGGTAGTTTGTATTTCTGTGGGATCAGTGGTGATTTTCTCTATCACTTTTTATTGCATCTATTCTTCTCTCTTTTCTTTTTTATTAGTCTGGTTAGTGGTCTGTTTTGTTGATGTTTTCAAAAAAACAGCTCCTGGACGCACTGATTTTATAGAAGGGTTTTTTGTGTCTCCATCCGCTTCAGTTTTGCCCTGAACTTAGTTATTTCTTGTCTTCTGCTAGCTTTTTAATTTTTTTTTATCTTGCTCCTCTAGTTCTTTTAATTGTGATAATAGAATTTTTGTTTTAGATCTTTCCTTGTTTCTCATTTAGTGCTAAAATTTCCCTGTAGACACTGCTTTAAATGTGTCCCAGAGATTCTGGAATGTTGTGTCTTCATTCTTAATAGTTTTGAAGAACATCTTTATTTTTGCCTTCATTTAATTATCCAGCAGTCATTCAGAAGCAAGTTGTTTAGTTTCCATGTAGTTGTGTGATTTTGAGTGTGTTTCTTAATCCTGAGTTCTAATTTGATTGCACTGTGGTCTGAGAGACTAGTTCTTATGATTTCTGTTCTTTTGCATTTGCTGAGGATTTACTTCCAATTATGTGGTCCACTTTTGAGTAAGTGTGATGTGTTGCTGAGAAGAATGTATATTCTGTGGATCTGGAGTGGAGAGTTCTGTAGATGTCTATTAGGTCCACTTGGTCCAGATCTGAGTTCAAGTCTTGCATATCCTTGTTAATTTTCTGTCTTGTTGATCTAATATTGACAGTGGGGTGTTAAAGTCTCCCATTATTATTGTGTGGGAGTCTAAGTCTCTTTGTAGGTAATTAAGAACTTGCTTTATATATCTAGGTGCTCCTGTATTGGGTGCATAATATTTAGGATACTTAGCTTTTCCTGTTGCATTGATCCCTTTACCATTATGTAATGCCCTTCTTGGTTTCTTCTGATCTTTGTTGATTTAAAGTCTGTTTTATCAGAGACTAGGATTGCAACTTTTTTTTTTTTTTTTTTGCTATTTCCTTGATAAATCTTCCTCCATTCCTTTATTTTGAGCCTATGTGTGTCTTTGCACGTGAGATGGGTCTCCTGAATACAGTGTACCAGTTGGTCTTGACTTTATCCGATTTGCCAGTCTGTGTCTTTTGAGTGGGGCATTTAGCCCTTTTACATTTAAGGTTAATATTGTTACATGTGCATTTCATTCTGCCATTTTGATGCTAGCTCATCGTTTTGCCTGTTAGCTGATTCAGTTTCTTCATAGTGTCTATGGCCTTTACGATTTGGTATGTTTTTGCAGTGGCTGGTACTGGTTGTTCCTTTACATGATTAGCGGTTCCTTCAGGAGCTCTTGTAAGGCAGGCCTGGTGGTGATGAAATCTCTCAGCAATTGCTAATCTGTAAAGGATTTTATTTCTTCAATTATGAAGCTTAATTTGACTGGACATGAAATTCTGGATTGAAAATTCTTTTCTTTAAGGATGTTGAATATTGGCCCTCACTCTCTTCTGGCTTGTAGGGTTTCTACTGAGAGATCTGCTGTCAGTCTGATGTGCTTCCCTTTGTGGGTAACGTGATGTTTCTCTCTGGCTGCCCTTAGCATTTTTTCCTTCATTTCAAACCTAGTCAATCTGGTGATTATGTGCCTTGGGGGTTGCTCTTCTGGAGGTATATCTTTGCCATGTTCTCTGTATTTCTTAAATTTGAATGTTGGCCTGCCTTGCTAGGTTAAGGAACTTCTCCTGGAAAATACCTTCAAGAGTATTTTCCAACTAGGTTTTACTCTCCCTCTCACATTCAGGTACACTAATTAAACATAGATTTGATCTTTTCACATAATCCCATATTTCTTGGAGGCTTCGTTCATTTCTTTTCAATCTCTGATATCCTTTCTTCAATCTGATCGATTCAGTACTAAAACTTGTGTATGCTTCATAAAGTTCTTGTGCTGCTGGGCCTGAGCCAGCATCCTGTACCAGCAGCAATGGGTAAAACCGAGCCCCAGGATGTAAGAAAACGCAAGAAGGGAAGGGCATAGCCTCCTCGATACCAAGCACTGTAAGAAGAGGTGATATTCAAAAGAGATAAGGTCATCAGGGGCCCAGGGACCCCTGCAGTGCCAGGAATTAATTAACCCTTTAGTTTCCAGATCACAGAGAGCTCCCAAGAGTTCATTGTGAAAAGTACCCGGGGCACTGGCTGTTTCCATAGTAATAAGAAAGTATGTCAGTATATGAACAACTAGGGAACCAAGTTCTACCAACAACCAGGTAAGCTTCAAAGTGGGCCCTTTCCCAGCTGAGTCATCAGATGAGACCCAAGCCCTGGCAGATGGCTTGGCTGCAGACTTAAGGAAGGACCCTGATAAAAAGCACCAAGGGACAGGACAGCTGGGTATCTGCCCCAATCGCAGGAAGAATTCACCCAGCATCAACAATAATCACCAGAACATCAACAATGTAAAGACAGCCAACATCTGTCAAGGGCACTTGGGCACTGTGTTGTGTTGTAACAGATCATATGTCTTTCCTAGTTTACAATACCTCAGTGATAATGATGACTACAGCCCCCACTCTGCACTGGCTGCCTCATTCTTTGGTGAAGAAGAGAACGCAGCACAATTTAAGGCACCAAAGGGCTGACGGCAGAAGAGGTGGGAGAGGACCCAGGATAGAAGATACAAAAAGGAGGAATATGCAGCTGACAGCACCATCAGGGAGACTGTGAGAACATGCTCAGGTAACACAAATAAAAGAAGAACTCAAAAATGCATCATCTCACAAAAACAGCCACAGGGAGGCATAGACATGCCTAGAACGGAAGTAGGGGCTGCAGATTATTCCTGGATGCAGGGAGCCAATCTGCGCCAGGGATTCTCAGTCTTGGTTGCAAGTAAATCAAAGGGGGCTTTAATAAATGAGCAGGTGGCAGTTAGGCATGGTGGCTCCTGCCTGTAATCCTAGCACTTTTGAGGCCAAGGCAGGCGGATCACTTGAGGCCAGGAGTTCAAGACCAGCCTGGCCAACATGGCAGGCTAAGGTGTTTGTGCCAGGATGAAAACCAGTGCCTTCTGCTTCCTGCATTAAGAAAGCCTTGTAAGTGAGCTGAGCTGAATGGCAAGCTTGGTGCCATAGTTGATGTCCATTATGGTGCTGCCTCCTCATATTATCACCAACTGGTCACAAAGTGTGGCTCGTCAGTGTCCCGTGGACCACATGTCAAGTGTGGTTAGCCCACAGCCATGGCATGGTAGAAACACATTCTAAAATTTAGTTATTTTGGGCTCAGTATGGTTGCTCACACCAGTAATCCCAACACCTTGGAAGTCCACGGTAAGTGGATTACTTGAGGCCAGGAGCTCCAGACCAGTCTGGCCAACCTGGCAAAATCCTGTCTTTGCAAAAAAAAAAAAAAAAACCTGGGCATGATGATGCTTCAGGAGGCCAAGATATGAGAATCCTTTGAACCTGGGAGGCACAGGTTGCAGTGAGCCAAAATTGAGCCACTGCACTCTAGCCTGGGCAACAGAGCAAGACCTGGTCTCAATTAAAAAAAAAAAAAAAATTTTAATGTATACTTACTTTACTTTCTTTCCCCACTAGAATGTCAGCTCCAGGTGGGCTGCTGTATCTTCAGTACATAAAACAATGCACAGCAGGTGCTGAACAAATACTTGTCATCCACTGTGGGGAAAAAAAATTAAAGAATCAAATCATACAGAAAGATATAAAAAGTATATCGTCTCCTCTTCCATCAGTTCCTCTCCTCCAAAGTGACAATTTTGTGCATGCTTTTAGAAGAGAAGGTATAAGCATATAGTTTTTTAAAAATACTTTGACAGATTTAAATAAAATCATACTGTACACAGAGTTCTCTTTAGTATATCTAATAGTATATCATCTGGGTTCATTATAATCTGCTTTTTTTTTTTAGTTGTGGTTTTGAAATAGGATCATGCTCTGTCCCCCCGGCTGGAGTACAGTAGTGTGATCACAGCTCACTACAGCCTCCAACTCCTGGGCTCAAGAAATCCTCCTGCTTTAGCTTCCCAAGTGGCTGGGACTGCAGGTGCACCACTGCATGCCTGGCTTGCTTTCATTTGTGTTCATGATGCATGCTTGTCCGGCATGTGGATGTGCCCTGCTAGCATTACCTTTCTCCCATTTATTGCAAAAACAGGTTGTTCCCTCTTTTTTTTACTACCATGATCCATGCTACACTGAGTGTTCTGGTGCCTGTCCTGGGATACAGTGACAGGTCTATCCATGCCTAGGTGGCTTTGAAAAGTTTAAAGACAGCAGTGCAGGCCAGGCACAGTGGCTCACACCTGTAATCCCAGCACTCTGGGAGGCAGAGGAGCAGGTGGATCACCAGAGGCCAGGAGTTTGAAATGAGCCTGACCAAAATGATGAAGCCCTCTCTCTTCTGAAAATGCAAAATTAGCCAGGTGTGGCTCACGTCTGTAATCGCAGCTACTCGGGAGGCTGAGGCAGGACAATCACTAGAATCCAGGAGGCGGAGGTTGCAGTGAGCTGAGATCACGCCATTGCACTCCAGCCTGGGCAACAAGAGTGAAACTCCATTTCAAAAAGAAAAAAAAATGTGCAACTTACCATTTTGCAAAGCTGGCCCTATATCAGGAGACCATATAGAGATGGACTATGGAAATTCCCTTTTAAACAGTTAATGGTGAAGGATGACTTCAGATGATGCCCCACATCTTTTATGTCTTTTTATTATTAACTGTGTCATTCTTTTTGTAATGTTGTGCTCATTACAACTATTCTTTCTTGTTCAGGTTGACAAATTTTTCTGTGAAATGGCGTTAAACATTTTTATAAATGTCAGACTTACCTGTTCAACTACCACCTGCGTCACGTTAGCTGAGTTGCAGGTGGAATGTTTAAGGAAGTTCTAGCCTTTTCAGCATTTGTGAAAGCATGCTCATACTGACACTAAATTTTCTTAGTCTTACCTTAAATCTCTGAGTCTGGACCTGCAGGAGACATGGTGTTCAAATTCAAGCCTCCATCAGAATCACCTGGATAGCTTAATATATTTGGTTCGTTGACTGAGATGGACATGGACTCTGTCTCCCACGCTGGAGTGCCCTGGTGTGATCTTGGCTCACTTCATCCTCTGCGTCCTGGGTTCAAGTAATTCTTCCACCTTAGCCTTTTAGTAGCTGAAATTACAGGTGAGCAACACACTTGGCTAATTTAAAAAATATTTTGAGTAGAGATGATATTTCACCATATTGGCCAGGCTGGTCTCAAACTCCTGACCTCAGGTGATCCACTTGCCTCAGCCTCCCAAAGTGCTGGGATTACAGGTGTGAGCCACTGTTGGCTGATAGCTTCTTACTATAAAATGCAGCTTTCTGGGCCCCACTCATTTTCAGTTTAGTAGGTCTGGGTGGGATTTGAGTATCTGCATTCCTAACATATCCCCAGGTGCTGCTGCTGCTGGTTCAGGTCAACATGTAGAGACACACTGGAGTTGATCCTCACTACTCAAAGTGTGGTCCGTGGACCAGCAGCCATGGCATCACCTGGTGCTTATTAACTGTAGAATTTTAGGCCTCTGCCCAGATCCACTGAAACAGATTCTGAATTGTAACTAGTTCTCTAGGTGGCGTGTATGGACATTAAAGTTCATGAGACACTGGAAGAAAGTAGGAGTGAAAAAACTTTCTGGAAACGTTCAGCATTCCAGGCCATATGGTGATTGTCACAAATACTTGTCTCTTCCTGCACAGTGGAAAAGCAGCCTTAGATAATATGGAAATCAATGGGTGTGACTGTGTTCCTGTAAACACGTATTTAGAAACACTAAAATTTAAATTTTACAGAATTTTCATCTGTCATGTAATATTTTTCATCTGTCATGTAATATTGTTTTGATTTTTTTTTTTTTTCACTGTTAAAAGTACGAAATCTGGCTGGGTGCTGTGACTCATGCCTGTAATCTCAGCACTTTGAGAGGCTAAGGTGGGCAGGTGGCTCCTCTCCTGCCCATGGAAATCAGAACTCCAGGCTGTCTGGCCTCTGGGACTTAATCACTCCAGGTTCTCTGGCCTTTGGTTGTGGACTGAGAATTCCACCATTAGCTTCCCTGGGTCTGAGATCTTTGGACTTGGGCTGAGCCATACTACCAGCTTCTCAGGTTCTCCAGCTTGCAGCTGACCTAGCATATGAGTTCTCTATAATCACGTGATCCAGTTTCCCTAGTAGATCCCCTCTCACCCTCAATCCATCCACTCATCCATCATCTATCCATCCACTATCTCTTCATCTATCATCTAACTATCATCTACCAATCTATCATTTATCCATCCATCCTACTAGTTCTGTCTCCATGTAATAAACAGAAACCCCACCTCTGCCTGCCAGTGACCTTCAACTGGGTCATGGACGTAGGCCATTTCCATACAATGCTCAGCCATGGAGGCCCAAGCTCTATCCGTCTCCCATGAGACCGTTTCTCTCATCACCTGGACCACCCAGACAGTCTCCTACCAGGGTCATGAGGTCCTCTGCTGATGTCCAAGTGGCTGGCATCATGGATGTCCCAGATTTCCACCCACCATCTGCGTCTGACTGAAGGCCTGTATCCTGGGCATCCCTGGAATAGAATGAGGAACTGAACCTGGGTCTGCGGATTGTCTCTGTAAGGCCAACGGGTCTCTGGAGAATCCAATGCACCAGGCTGGCTCTGTCACAGCTTACCCCAGAACAGGCAACAGAAACAAAAACAGCCACCCTACTGCCCCCATGGCCACAATATACTGCCCCTACATCACTTGCAATTTGACGTTCCAGCTCGTCTGGGCTCAGGATGCGTCTTACATCCTTATTTAATTGGCAGTTGTTTTTCTTTCTTTTTTTGGAGAGTCTCACTCCATTACCAGGTGCCAGGCTGCAGTACAGTGGCACGACCTTGGCTCACTGCAACCTCTGCCTCTCGGGTTCAAGCAATTCTCCTGCCTCAGCCTCCCAAGTAGCTGGGACTACAGGCACACACCACCATGCCCAGCTAATTTTTTTTTGGATTTTTAGTAGAGATGGGGTTTTACCATGATGGTCTCGATCTCTTTAACTTGTATCCACCTGCCTCAGACTCCCAAAGTACTAGGATTACAGGCGTGAGTCACCACACCCAGCCAGTTGTTTTTCTTTCTTACTGTTACACACAATCATAACGTATCATGCTGATGGTGTCTCAGATTTGAAGAGTTAGGGTAGATGCAGTGGAGGCCCTGACCTGATTCCCAAAAGAATGACAGAGGTGGCACAATGGGGCACACCTTACATAGCGGGTAGAGTCTAAAATCCAGTACAGCCCAAATTACACGCAAATGAGGCTTCTTTGGCTAAATAAAAGTACATGGTTAGCTGGGTGTGTTGGACAGAAACACTTCAAACGGCAAGAACACGTGGGATGCCAGATGCTCAGAAAGAAAAAAAGTGAGACTGACTCAAGGAGGGACAGTCATGTGCCATGGCAAACAGCATCAACTGCCTGCTTGAGCAGCGTTTTTCTCTTCTCTTTTCTATTCTTAAGATGGAGTCTCACTCTGTCTCCCAGGCTGAAGTGCAGTGGTGCAATCTTGGCTCACTTCAACTTCCGCCTCCTAGGATCAAGCGATTCTTCTGCCTGAGCCTCCCAAGTAGCTGCGATTATAGGCGCTTTCCACCACACCCAGCTAATTTTTGTATTTTCAGTAGAGATGGGGTTTCACCATGTTGGCCAGGATGGTCTCAAACTCCTGACCTTGTGATCCACCGGCCTTGGCCTCCCAAAGTGCTGAGATTACAGATGTGAGGCACCATGCCCAGCTTCTCTCTTCTTTTCTACTCAGTTGCCTTAATGACTTGTGAGATTTTACCCCATTTAGCAGAAAAACAAACTGATGCCCGGACGAGAAACGAGAACCACAAAGCTATTAACAAGCAGCACTGCCAGGGCCACAGCCTGGATTCAGGTCACAGGGCAAGAAGAAGGAAACCAGGGCATCCTAGAGGATAAGGAAACTCACACTTACTTCCTAGACTTGGTGCGTTTCTTCTTCCAATTCTTTACCAAAGCAGGCATGACTTGTTCCGATGTGTCCTCCTCGTTTAAGGACCAGAGGCCACTGCTCTCCAGGGGCTGGTGGTATCCCCGGATGATCAATCTGAGGCCAAGACACAAGGGGGTTAGGCAATGAGAGGAGGAGGAGGACGGGGCTCACACATGCGTGCCAATGCCGCACCCCTCCCCAGCATAACTGCCTGCTGCAAACGAAGGCAGCCACACAGCTGAAGATGTCTGTATGTGGATAGACATTTGCACATATTACAAGGTTATTACAGCTTATTCTGTTGGATCATTAAAAAAATAGCTTCCTTTTGGGGGATGCAGAGAAAAGTTTTAGGGAAAAAATGATTTCAGAGGAAAATATCAAGATGGCTCTAATTCACTTTATTTTTTATCATTCATTCATTTACTTTATTATTTTTTGTTGTTTTTTTTGAGATGAAGTCTCGCTAGGTCACCCAGGTTTGAGTGCAGTAGCGTGTTCTTGGCTCACTGCAACCTCTGCCTCCCAGGTTCAAGCAATTCTCCTGCCTCAGCCTCCCAAGTCTGGGACTAAAGACACACGCCACCACACCTGGCTAATTTTGTGCATTTTAGTAGAGACAGGGTTTCATCATGTTGCCCAGACTGGTCTCAAACTCCTGAGCTCAGGTAATCAGCCACCTTCGGGCTCCCAAAATGCTGGGATTACAGGGCCTCATTCCTTTATTTATTTGGTGACAAGGTCTCGCTGTGTCACCCAGGATGGAGTGCAGTGGCATGATCACGGCTCCCCGCAGCCTCCAGCTCCTGGCCTAGAGTGATCCTCCCACCTCAGCCTCCTGAGTAGCTGGGACTTCAGGTGTGAGCCATTCTGAGTGGCTAATTGTTTTTTGTTTTTTATTTCTGTAGAGAGATAGTCTCCCTATGTTGCCCAAGCTGATCTTGAGCTCCTGGGCTCAAGCAATCCTCCCACCTTGGCCTCATTAAGTGCTGGGATTATAGGCATGAGCCACAATGCCCCACCAACTTTTTAAAATTTTACATTAAAAAAGGCTAATATGGGCCAGGACCAGTAGCTCATGCCTATAATCCTAGCATTTCAGTAGGCCCATGTGGGAGGGCTTCGTGAACTTGGAGTTCAAGACCACTCTGGGCAACATTGGGTGACTATCTCTACAAAAAGTAAAAATAAAAAATATTACCCAGTCATAATGGCTCACAACTAGTCCCAGCTACTCAAGAGGCTGAGGTGGGAGGACTGCTCGAGGCCAGAAGATGGAGGCTGCAGGGAGCCGTGATCATGTCATTGCACTCCAGCCTGGGCAACAGAGCCAGACCCCGCCGCCCCAAAAAAAACCAGGTTGAGGGCAGAAAAAAAAAGGCTGACACAACAACACATTAGCAATCAAGAAACCTGGGTGATAAGCTTATTGAGTTTTATTATATTATTCTATGTGATTCTACGCCACTGGGTACAGTGGCACGATCTCGGTTCATTGTAACCTCTACCTCCTGGGATCAAGTGGTTCTCCTGCCTCAACTTCCCAAGTAGCTGGGATTACAGGCACCTACCACCACGCCTGGCTAGTTTTTGTATTTTTAGTGGAGACAGGGTTTTACTACATGGGCCAGGCTGGTCTCAAAATCCTGACCTCAGATAATCCACCCACCTTGGCTTCCCAAATTTCTAACATTATAGGTGTGAGCCACCGTACTCGGCCAATTGAATGCTTTTATAATAAAAAGTTAAACACTTTCATTTTTTGTTTTAAAATAATTTCAAATGTATAGAAAAAATAAATTAAGAATTCACTCAACTCACCACTGTTAACATGTCGCCAAGTTTACAGTAACATAAACCATTCAAACAGTTACAGGACTAGCACAGTGGCTCGTACCTGTAATCCCAGCACCATGGGAGGTTGAGGTGTGTTAATCACCTGAGGTCAGGAGTTTGAGACCAGCCTGGTCAACATGATAAAAACCCAACTCTACTAAAAATACAAAAATTAGCCAGGCATAGTGGTGTATACCTATAATCCCCAGCTACCCAGTAGGCTGAGACAGGAGAATAGCTTAAACTTAGGAGGCAGAGGCTGCAGATCACACCACTGCACTCCAGCCTGGACAACAGAGCAAGACTGTCTAAAAAAAAAAAAAAAAAGTTAAGAATCTTTACCCCAAAAAAACTAGGGGTATCTCCTTACAATCCAACACATGCTCTTACGTAACTGGAGGACAATTTTCCAAAACAAAAATGAATGTTATTAGCATGCATCTGGTGTCCTGCAGTCATATACAAATTACATCAACTGTCCCAGTGATGCTTCCTAATAGTAATTTGAAGAAATTATTTAAAACATCTAATCTTTTAAAAAGATGTTTGTAAAAAGTTCATAAAGAGAAGAATGAGACCAGGCATGGTGGCTCATTCCTAAAATCCCAGCACTCTGTGAGGCTGAGGCAGAAGAATCACTTGAGCTCAGGAGTTGGAGACCAGCCTGGGCAACATGGTAAAACTCTGTCTTTGCTAAAAATACAAAAATCTGTTGGGCATGGTGGAGCATGCCTAAAGTCCCAGCTACTGAGACTGAGGCAGGAGCATCACCTGAACACAGTAGATCAAGACTACAGTGAGCAACAATTGTGCCACTGCACTCCAGCCTCAGCAACGGAGTGAAAGCCTGTCTCCAAAAAAACAAAAATATAATGCATATTAGGGTGAAAGAAAGATTCCTCAAATAATCCCCAATAAGATATTGACAATGGGCAGAAAAAGGTGTGCAAGAAAAACACAAGGTGGTTGGGCATGGTGGCTCAGGCCTGTAATCCCAGCACTTTGGGAGGCCAATGTAGGTGGATCACCTGAGGTCAGGAGTTCAAGACCAGCCTGGCCAACATGGCAAAACCCTGTATCTACTAAAAAATACAAAAATTAGCCAGGCATGATGGCGCACCCCTGTAATCCTAGCTACCTGGGAGACTGAATCAGGAGAATCGCTTGAACCCAGGAGGCAGAGGTTGTAGTGAGCTGAGATTGTGCCACTGCACTCCAGCCTGGGAGACAGAAGGAGACTCCATCTCAAAAAGAAAAGAAGACCAGAAGGACGCATACTAAAATGGTGGCAGTGGTTGCCTCTGGGTGTTTCCTTACTACTGATCTGCACATGTGTTTTTTAAACCCACATTGCCTATGGTGAGACAGTATTTTTCTAGGAAGTGGGGGATGGGAGGGGAACAATGTCAATAACAACTATACCTAATATTTAAAAAACCCAAATCTGTCACATTGAACATAATGTCTAGGCAAAAAATAAAAATAAAAACCCAAATCTGAAGCTAAAGCAAGAAGCAGTCCATTACATGGCTGTCCCAGGCCAAACCTCCGGCAGATATTTAAGCTGCTCATGGCTCATGTGTTTATCACATTCAAGGTGATGGATTTGGGGGACAGAGTTGGTGTCTCTGAGACTACAGGGCCAGCACAGGCAGATTCAAGACAACTATGCAGAAGAGTGAAGGAGACAGAAGTCAAGTGTGGAGCTCAGCATGTTCATTCATTCATTCCCCACCATCTCCCTGAGGTCTCCGGTGCCCAGCCTTACCCTGTGATCCACCAGAAGGTGTTCCTGGACAGGAAGGAGGCGCTGGACTCTGGGCAAGGATTCTAGTGGAAAGAAAGAACAGGTTAGGGAGGAAGAGGGAAAGGAATGATTCAACTTTTTGTCCAGGCCAGAGCTTGGCAAGGATTAGTCAGCTGCCCATTCTTCCTTCAAGGGGACCAGTGTTGGCCTGGCAAGGTGGCTCATGCCTGTATCCCAGCACTTTGGGAGGCCAAGGCAGGCAGATCATGAAGTCAGGAGACAGAGACCATCCTGGCCAACATAGTGAAACCCCATCTCTACTAGAATATAAAAATTAGCTGGGTTGTGGTGGCATGCATCTGTAGTGCCAGCTACTTGGGAGGCTGAGGCAGGAGAATTGCTTGAACCTGGTAGGCACAGGTTGCAGTGAGCCGAGATTGCACCACTGCACTCCAGCCTGGCACCTGGAGACAGAGCAAGACTCTGTCTCAAAAAAAAAAAGAGGACCAGTATCTGCCCCATAACATTCTGCACCCCAAAAGGATTGTCTCCTAAGCCCCAGGATAAAGAAACTCACAGCAACTCCTCTCATTTCACTCAACAGAGTGTCTACCAGGCACAACCACAATACCACAAGCTATCAACCTGCCTTATCTTCTATCCCCGCAGCAATTCTAGGAGCTAGTGTTACCATCATCCCCACTTCACTTACTCATTCAACAAATACTTTCTGAGCACCTACTATGTGCTAGGCACTCTAAAAGGTACTAAAGGGTTACTTTAGATCCCCACGACAACCTCATAAGCTAGTATTACTATTGTCCCCATTTTCCTCATTCAGGCATTGGGTATTTATTGACTGCCTACTATGAGCTGCACATGCTACCAGGAAAGTATATACTTGCATTATTTTATATCCACATGGAATTCTATAAACATGGTATTACTATTACCTCCACATCCAACACATATTTCCTGAGCACCATCCATGTGCCAAGCACCCTGCATACAAATCTAAACAAACAGAAATGAGCCCCGCCTGTATGGAGCTTGTGGTCCACTGCAGTATTCATCAGAAATACCTGCCAAGATTTTCTACTATTAATAGCTAGCTCTGTTCTAAGTGCTTTACACAAATTACCCTATTTAATCTTCATCCCGACCTCACAAGGTAAGTGACAGTATGATATCATCCCTGTTTTGCAGTTAAAAGAAACTGGGGACCAGAGATGAAATGATTTGTTCAAGGTCCCACAGCTAAAACTGGTGCAGACAGGACGTGAGCCCCAAAGAGTCAGGCTCCAGAGAGAGACATGCATCAAATGATCACACAAACAAATGCAAAACTGTGACTTCTGGGCCTTGATATGTGTCCTAAAGGTAGAGAAATATTACCAATGAGACAAAGTCAGCACGGGGCTGATCTGCTGTACCAAGGTCAAAGAAGAGTCCCCAAGGAAGACAGTCAAGCTGGTGCCTGAAGGATGAGTAGAGGAGACCTAAGTAATGAGGAAAGCCAAGGCATTCCCAGCAGACAGCAGCGTGTGCAAATGCCTGGCAGTAGAAGGAAGCATGGCAGACTCCAGGAACCAAGACAGGGCCTGAGCAGTCTACACTGAAGGCTGTGAACAGTCTACACTGCAAGCCATGTATTTTGGTATTCATTCTAAGGGCAAGGGAAACTACTGAGAGACTCCAAGCAAGCTATCAAAAAACTTATTTCTCAGAGGCACGAAGATGAGCCCCAACTCAACATACAGGCAAGGAAAGGGACCGACACAGACTCCTGGGATGACAGATCAAGCCTGGCTTTCAACTCAGATGAATTCAGGTCAAAATTCTGAAACACAAGCTTTAAGCAGGAGAGGGAAGAAAGGTCACCATGGAGCAATGACAGCTTTAGTCAAGGACTCCACTCAAATTTCCAGCCTTGTGCAGAGATAAGGCATTTACAGAGCCTGATAAGGAAGCATACTCTCAAGTGGTTTTCCATCCGAGGCTGGGCATGCTTTTTAAAAACTACTGTATCCTGGCGGGGTGTGGTGGTTCATGCCTGTAATCCCAGCACTTTGGGAGGCCCAGGTGAGCAGATCATTTGAGGTCAGGAATTGGAGACCAGCCTGGCCAGTATGGCAAAACCCCATTTCTACTAAAAAAAAAAAAAATTAGCTGAGAGTGGTGGCTCACAACTATAGTCACAGCTACTCAGGAGGCTGAGGCAGAAGAATCACTTGAACCCAGGAGGCAGAGGTTGCAGTGAGCTGAAATCCCACCACTGTACCCCAGCCTGGGGACCCTGTCTGTGTCTGGACCCTATCCCCACCAGGGATTCTGATTAAGCTGGTTTGGGATACAGCTGGGACAATGAAACTTTTTGTTTTAAACATCCACATCCTCCTTGGAAAAGTGGCTGGGCAGGAAATATGCAAGATAAGCCAAGAACAAGAACATCCTGTCACACTGGACAACAAGGAAACTAAGCATAAACAGGATTGTTAGAAGGCCCAAGAGCCAAGCAGAAGTGGCGCCACAATCTACAAAAGGGACAATTTGAGCTTTGACGAGGAGAGTAAGTGCAATGGGTTGAAACATACCATGTATGTTTGGTTTGTTTTTTTTGATTTTTTTTTTTTTTTTTTTTTTTTTTTTTGAGATGAAATCTTGCTTTGTCTCCAAGGCTGGAGTGCAGTGGTGTGATCTTGGCTAACTGCAACCTCTGTCTCCGGTGTTCAAGTGATCCTCCCGCATTGGCCTACCAAGTAGCTAGGATTACAAGCATGAACCAAGACACTGGGTTTATGTTTGTATATTTAGTAGAGACGGGGTTTCACCCTGTTGGTAACCAAGCTGCTCTTGAACTCCTGATCTCCAGTGATCCACTCGCCTCAGCCTCCTAAAGTGCTTGGATTACAGAAATGAGCCACCGTCCTAGCCAAAAACCTCCATTTTTACTTAAGATTTTAATGATTAATTTCACATAAGGTGAAAAGTAACGAGTCTCTAGCAGTCTTATCCCAAAAACTGGGACCGATTATAAAGTACGATTTTACTCAGTCCCATTTTCCTTCAAATCATCTATTTTGATTAAATACAAGAGTTTCATTTTCCACCCCTGTATAAGGGCAGTAAATACTACTAGGAAAAAAACCATAATTAGCACCAGTACAAATTCAAGGTTTCCAACCTGAGCATAAGCATTGCTTTGTAATTTGTTTCTTTACCTGTCCCAGGTTACAATCTCCTATTACCCCAAAATGAAATCTCAAATGTCCATCATTCTGCATAAAATGCATGCTGGCCCCTCCATGGAAAACATCAACCATGAATTATGGGTCTCTTCACTTTACCTTCACACCACTGATTTCTGTTGCACTAACTATGCTTATTGCCCTGTATGTCTAGCATTAGACTGGACTCCGAGGGAACAGGAACTCACATTCATTTCTCAGTCCTGAGGGCAAAACACCAAAGTGTAATTAAGGTAAGAAATAACTCCAATTATTTCAAGTTCTGAATTCGTGGTCTTATCAAAAATGGCAGTGTGTATTCAAGCTTTATTTTCCTGATCCAGTTCTCTATTTTGGGGGGCTCTTTACAAAACAGGCCAGGAAGTCAAAAATGTCTAGAGATTACTCCCACATGGTAATCTTTGCAAATAAAACTCTCAGACCTAACTTTACACTAATAAAAATTTCATGATTTTTTGAAACAGGGTCTTACTCTGTCACCCAGGCTGGAATACAATTACAGCTCACTGCAACCTCATCCTCCTAAGCTCAAGCAATCCTCCCACCTCAGCCTCCCGAGTGTTGGGGCTATAGGAACAAGCCACCATGTGTGGCTAATTTTTTGTAGAGATGGGGTTTCACCATGTTGCCCAGGCTGGTCTCAAACTTCTGGGCTTACGGGATCCGCCTGTCTCAGCCTCACAAAGTGCTGGGATGACGGGCATGAGCCACTGTGTCCAGCACCAATACCACATTTTAATTGTGTGTTAAGGTGGCTGGATTGAAGGAAGAAATGCATACTCCATTTTCTTTTATTTCCCAGTCCTACAGGGTTTTAAAAACACTAATATTAAAGTTTAAATGTCCTAGAGCAGGAAAAGAGATTTAAAAACTTGACAGTCTCACAGTGATTTCAGAGATGAAAAGATTTTCAGAGATAAAAAGCATGATTTGTCAAATTTAAAACAGCAATAGAAGCAACAAGTAGCAGATAAAATATAACCAAAGAAAAATTAGTCACATAAAAAAAATGAGCAAATGATTTATTCTACTTCTCGAATCAAAAAGACAAAATAGATTAACAAGATGAAAGAAAAAAAATGTTAGAAATATGCAGATCAACCTTACCAATACTGTGTATAGAAAGAAAACTGTGCTTTTTTGACAAATTTATTGAGCATCGAGCATCTAGCATACTACAGCCATGAAACAATAAAGAATGAGAAACATTCACCATGTTAGGTGATTCACCATGAAGGTGGATCACTTGAGGTAAGGTAGATCACCTGAGGTCAGGAGTTCGAGACCAGGCTGGCTAACATGGTGAATGTGTCTTCAAAACATCCACATTCTAGTACAAATAAAGCTTAAGTAGTAACCAAACAAACTACTGAATAAAACTAGGCTTATGAAGAAAGGGGGATGGAAGAGAAGGAAAAAAATAAATGTATACATTTTATATTTTAGAAAAATTTAAGGCAAAGAGATTCTGATAGAATTTCAAAGATTTCAGAGATAAAGTATCCCTCAAGCACGGTGATGATTTGGTGTCTCAGGTAATCAAGTTTTTAAAAACATCTGGATGGCTATGTTTTTAAAAGAATACCACACATGGACAAGGACATGGTTAAATTGGCACTCTCACACATTTGAAGTCGGAACAGAAATTGTTTTAATTTTCTTTTTTTTTTTTTTTTTTGAGACAGAGTTTCACTCTTGTTACCCAGGCTGGAGTGCAATGGCGCGATCTTGGCTCACCGCAACCTCCGCCTCCTGGGCTCAGGCAATTCTCCTGCCTCAGCCTCCTAAGTAGCTGGGATTACAGGCACACGCCACCGTGCCCAGCTAGTTTTTTGTATTTTTAGTAGAGACAGGGTTTCACCATGTTGACCAGGATGGTCTCGAT